AAATGTACGTGCCCCCCTCGGGGCCTGCCCCCGGTTTCTATCGAGAAGATTGTTCCTGCTCAGACTGTGTGGTTGCCCCCGCGGCTGCAACAACAACGGCTCCCGCCTGATACTTCCTCACAATGTATTCCCAGATCGCACTCTCGCGTTGGATTTTTCACGATTGATTCCGGAATCGTGCTCTCGCGTGGGACGTCCTCGCAGTGTATTCAGACGCAGCGCCCTCGACACTCAGAAACCACGCTCTCGCAATGGCTTTTTTTCACGATGATTCTGGAATCGCGCTATCGCTTGAGATTCCCTCGCGATTCCTGCGGGACTCTCGCTTCAGCAGCCCGCCTGCTCGACCTCGTCGCCTGGGCGCGCTCTCCCGACCCGCCCGTTGGGTCTACCCACCCGATATGCCCGTCTGGTACTCCCTCTCGCGCTCCATCCTCCTCCCTCCCCTTTGTCCCTTCCTTCCATCCGTCCTCTCTTCCCCTGCCTCAGGGGCTCCCCTACCTCAGGGGCTCACGAATTACAAGTTGCAGGTAAGACAGATAATGTACACACAAGGGGGTACGATCGAGGACGAAACGGGTGGGCATCGAGGGATATACGTTGTTCAGTGGCCCGCGAGCAGATAAGAGCGATCATTTTGTTTTTCGAAGAGAACGTCTTCCTGCTCGAACTGCGTTGTTGTCCCCCCTGCCACAACAACAACGGCTCCCGCATCCCGCGTAATATCTCTTCACCAAGTTTTGCAACATCGCGCTCTCGCGCGGGACGTTCCCTTTCGCGTGGGACCTCCTCGCAATTTATTCAGACGCCGCGCCCTCGATACTCAGGAATCACGTTCTCGCTTGGGCTTTTCTCGCGTTTTTGTTTGTATCGGAACCGTGCTATGCTCGAGACTTCCTCGCGATTCATGCAGGGGTCACGCTTCAGCAACCCGCCTGTTCGACCTGGCAGCCTGGGCCCGCCTTCCCACCGCCCGCGAAGGTCTGCCCGCCCGATTTGGCCGTCTGGTTATACGACATTTGTTATGCTCCTGGCCCCCCCTCCGCCTGCTAATTTCTCTAGTGCTTTATCCTCCTCCCTTCCTTCCATCCGTCCTCTCTTTCCTTGTATTAGGGGCTGCGCTACATGGGGGCACGATCGAAGACGCAGAGGGCGGGCACCGAGGGTTTGGGATTTACGTGTTGAGTGGCCCGCGAGCGGATGGGAGCGAGCAGTCTTAACATTGATGTTGTTCTCGTTGAACTTTCACTACTGAAGAAAAATATTGTTGATCCTCCTCCCTCTGGTAACACATGTGTTTTTCCCATTAACTTGAAGTGCCCCTACCGGGGCTCACTTCCTTCTTCTATCAGGGAACATCTTCCTGCTGAAACTGCATCCCCGGCTTCCGGACTACAACAACAACGGTTCCCGCAGGACACTTCTTTGCAATGTACTGAGAAAACGCATCCTCGCTGGGGACTTCCTGGCAGTTTATCCTAGAATCGCGCTCTCGCCTGTGACTTCCTTGCGTTATATTCAGGCGACACGCCGTCGCCATTCAAGAATCGCGCTCTCGCTTGGGACTTCCTCATAATTTACCTATGAATAGCGTTCTCGCCCGACACTTCCTTGTGAATTTTGCAGGACTCACGCATTCGCGTAACATACGTGCTTTTTTAATTGAAGTGCCCCTCCGGGGGCTTACTGTGTTTTTACCGGGGAAAGTCTTTCTGCTCAAACTGTGCCCCTGGCCCCCGGTTTACAACAACGGCTCCCGCCTAATACTTTCTTCTTATAATGTATTGAAGAATAGCGCTCTCGCTAGGCACTTCCTTCCATTTTGTTGAAGAATTGCGCTATCGATTGATACTTCCTCGCAGATTATTCAGGCGCCGCGCCCTCGACACTCATGAATCGCGCTGTCGCCTGGGACCTCCTCGCAATTGATTCAGGCGCCGCGCCCTGGACACTCAGGAATCACGCTCTCGTGCAGGATGTCCTCACGAGATTTATTTTGGAATCGTGCTGTCGCTCAAGGTTCCCTCGTGATTCATGCAGGACGCACGCTTCAGCAACCCGTCTGCTCGACCTGGCCGCCTGGGCCCGCCCTCTAGGGTCTACACACCCGATCTGCCTGTCTGGTTCTGCCATGTTTTTCTGCTCTTAGCCCCCCTCCTGCTATTCTCTCTCGTGCTCCATCCTCCTCTCTCCCCTCTTGTCCCTTCCTTTCTTCCGTCCTCTCTTCCCCTGCCTTTGATGCTGCACGAAATACACGTTGCAGGTAAGAGAGATACACCCCCAAGGGGATACGATCGAAGACGAAGAGGGTGAATATCCAGGGTTTGGATATTGATCACACGCCTCCAGTGACCAGTGCGTTTTCCAATTTAAGTGCTTCCTCTGGGGGTCGCACCCTGTTTTTTTGATCAGGGAAGGTCACGGGGCTCAAAGTGTGTTGGTGGCCCGCGGATTGCAACAATAACGGCTCCCGTTCCTCACAATTCAGCCAGGACCCCCGCTCCCGCCTAAGGCATCTTCGCGCTTTACTCAGGAATCGCGCTCTCGTTTGGGACTTCCTTACACTTTATTGAGGGATCGCTCTCTCGGCGTTCTGGAGTCGCGCTCGCGCTGGAGACTTGCTTGCAATGTACTAAAGAATCGCGCTCTCGCATTGGAATTCCCTGCAATTTACTCAAGCGCCGCACTCCCGTCACTCAGGCACCAAGGGGTCGCGCTCACGCTTAGGACTGCCTTACAGCTTACTCAGGAATCGGAATCTCGCTGCCCTTCGTGGCCCCGTCGCAGCCCTTCGTGGCCCCCTCGCTGCCGTTCGTGGCCCTCTCGCTGCCCTTCGTGGCCCCCTGGCTGCCCGTCGTGGCCCCGTTGCATCCCTTCGTTGCCCCCTCGCTGCCCTTCGCTACCCCGTTGCAGCCCTTCGTGGCCCCCTCGCTGCCCTTCGTGGCCCCGTTGCATCCCTTCGTGGCCCCCTCGCTGCCCTTCGTTGCCCCGTTGCAGCCCTTCGTGTCCCCTCTCGCTGCCCTTCGTGGCCCCGTTGCAGCCCTTCGTGGCCCCGGTGCATCCCTTCGTGGCCCCCTCGCTGCCCTTCGCCCCGTTGCAGCCCTTCGTGCCCCCGCTTGTTCGCGCTTGTCGTGGCCCCATATGCATGCGCTTCGTGGCCCCGGTGTCGCGTTTCGTGGCCCCCTCGCCGCCTTTCGTGGCCCCGTTGCTGCCCTCAGTGGCTCCGTCCTTGTTGCCCTCTGCGGCCCTACTACGTATGCCCTTCGTGGCCCCCGCTCGTTTGCGCCCTTCGTGGCCCCATACGCATGCCCTTCGTGGCCCCGCTGTCGCCCTTTGTGGCCCCCTTGCTGCCTTTCGTGGCCCCGCTGTCGCTCTCGTTCTCGCTCTCGCTCTCGCTTTCGCTCGTCGTCGTCGCCTTCGCGGCCGTCGCCGCCGCCGCTGTCGTCGTCGTCGTCGTCGTCGTCGTCGTCGTCGTCGTCGTCGTGGTCGCTCCCCTGTCCGCCCCTCGTGGGGTCGGATTGCCGCCGATCAGCGCTGCCGCTGGCCAGGCCGACGGTCTGCGGCCGCCCCGCCGCTTGCCGGGGCCCAGCCTGCAGGGAAGAAAAATATACCGCCCAAAAGGGGTACGATCGAAGACGAGGAGGGCGGGTATCGAGGGTTTGGGAAATACGTGTTGACGGACGTTTGAGCAGATAAGAGCAAACAGTCTTAATATGATTGTTGTTGTTGCTGTTGTTGTTGTGGTTGTTGTTGTTGCACCGATGCCTCCCGCTGGATACCCCCACAATGGATTCCCCAATCGCGCTCTCGCGAGGGACTTCCTCACAATTTAATGCAGGAGTCACGCTTTCGCGTGGGACACCCTTGCAGCCTATTCAGACGCCACGCCCTCGACACTCAGGAATCACGCTCTAGATGTGGGTTTCCAAAAGATTTAATGGGAATCGCGCTATCGCTCGAGTTTTCCTCGCGACTCATGCAGCACGCACGCTTTAGCAACCCGCCTGCTCGACCTGGCCGTCTACGCCCGCCTCTCCGACCCGCCCGTTAGGGCCTACCCGCCCGATCTGCCCGTCTGGTCCTGTCATGTGTTTTCTGCTCCTAATTTCCCTCCTGCTATTTTCTCTGGTGCTCCATCTTCCTCCCGCCCCGTTGTCCCTTCCTTCCCTCCGTCCTGTCCAGGGGCTACACGGAATACACACGTTGCAGGTAAGAAACATACACCCCGAAAGGGGGTACGATCGAAGACGGAGAGGGCGGGTATCGAGGGTTTTGGGATATGCGTGTTGAGTGGCACACGAGCAGGGAAGAGCGAACAGTCTTAACGTGGTTGGTGTTGTTGTTGTTGCTGGTGTTGAATTCTCATTATTGGAAATACTTGTAGTTGATCCCCCGCGCATATTTTTTTGCTTAATTTAGGTGCCCCCCTCGGGGCTCGCATCCGCTTCTTCATCCGAGGAAGGCTTCCTGCTCAAACTGCGTTGTCGCCCCCCCCGGCTACAACAACAACGGCTCCCGCCCCCCGTTCTTCACAGATTATTGCAACATCGCGCTCTCGCGCGTGACGTCCTCACAATTTATCCAGGAATCGCGTTTTCGCGTGGGACTCCCTCGCAATCTATTCAGACGCGGCGCCCTCGACACTCAGGAATCACGTTCTCGCTTGGGCTTCTCTTGCGATGTATTTGGGAACCTCACGCTTCAGCAACCAGCCTGGTCGACCCGGCCGCCTGGGCCCTGCCCGTCTGGTTCTGCCACGTGCTTTCTGTTCCTGGCGCCCTTCCTGCTAATCTCTCTCGTGTTCCATCATTTTTCCTTCCCCTTCCATCCGTCCTCTCTCTCTCTCTCGCCCTCTTGTTCTACGGGTTACGTGCGCGTGACGTGTTGAATGGCACACGAGCAGATGGGAGCGAACAGTCTTAAGATGCTGTTGTTGTTTCCTGCGGGAAAAAAACGGCATCCCTGTGTTTTCTATTTCCCCCCTCGCAAAGGAGCCCGAGAAGTTGCCGCCCCTGTCGCCCCTGGCCGCGGCTCCAGAGGCCGAGGACCCCAGTGCCGTCGGCGCGGTCACCGCGGTGGCAGAGAGCCCGGGCGAGGCGCCAGAGGGAGGGGGCCAGGGGTTTTCCAGGTTGTTCGACATGCATGTGCAACGATGGGGGGTGGATAGGCACAGGGCGGGATGCGTTCGGGAGACGAAGGGAAGGGGGTCTCCTAGACTGGGAGGATGGTTCGACCAACGGCAGCAGTTTTCTCGGGCGCTCCAGTGCCATTGTTTACGGGCGCATCCTTCAGGGGCCCTGAAAGGGGGACAGGGGGAGGGGGCAGTGGGGAGGGTGCTGGGGTAGCGTCCCCCCCCCCGCTTGTGGGCAGGGCGCGGATCTAGGGCTTTTAGTTGGTGAGGTTTTGTCTCAGGTGCCATGGCTGAAAAGTGCCGGTGGAGTTACCCTCGATGTGCGACGGCGGAGGGGCATATGTGAGTTTTGACATGGCAAGTGTTTGCCGGCATGGGCCCCGAGCTATGTATTACTTCACTTTGGGCGTGTCGGCTATGTGGTGCAGCCTGTCCGATGCAATCAATGTGGCGTCGTCAGTTTTGAAGAACTTGAATGTGTCAACCCCGGTTTTCGAGCAACCATTCCACACACCCGCCCGCATTTGTTTACGCTTCGCGTGTCCCCACCAGCGGACGCTGGCTGCAGCCCTTCCGGGAGCCCCATCCTTTGGAGTCGGCAACGTGCATTGGCTTCCACTTCGTCGCCCGCAGGGGCGGCGGCTTCTGACCCCCTTTTCACATGGGCGTGTAGACAGTGCGGTCGGCCGCTTGCTGGCATCGGCGGGCACGGACGTCGGTCAAGGCACCGCTCTGACGCGTGTGCTAGACGTTAGCTACTGCCACAGGTGGGCCTTCTGGGAGCGGAGGCCTCACACCGCCTTGGTACCTGAGGCCACCGCGGGCGCTCTGTCCTGTGGTCGGCTTTCTCCAGGCATAGACCCATACCATCTCGGTGGCGTACAAACCGGCCCACGTTCCAAGAGGGAAGTGAGTCCAGCTTTTCCGCCTCCCCCCCGCTGGCACACGCTCAGCGGTTTTTGGGGTACGCGTGGTGGCGCCAGGGCTCCTGCTGGTGTCTTCACGGTTGCCTCTTTTGCTGGCACATGTCCAGCGGCGTTAATTTTCTGCTGGTGCCTTCTCGGTTGCCTGTTTTGCTGGCGCAGTGACAGCGTCGCTAATTGTCTGCATTAATTCCCCCTCCCCCGTCTGCTGGCACACGCTCAGCGGTTTTTGGAGGTCGCATGGTGGCGTCTGGGCTTCAGTTGACGCCTTCGCGGTTGCCTCTTTGGCTGGCACTTGTCCAGCGCCGTTAATTATCTGCTTTCCCGTGCGCTGTGCCCCAGCCTCGTTCACACCGCCCTCTGGACTTTTCCTTGCGGGCCGCGAATCAAAAAGTGTCCCACCAGGTTTGCATGTGCACTTTGGCTTCGAGCTGTTGGGCCGCGTGGCATCGGCCTGCGCGTCCTGCTGCTCGGCCTTAATTTCCTGGCCCGTCCGTTTCCCTGTCGTGCTGGCGCCGTCAGGGCGCTTCTCGTCGGCTTCCGCAGGCATTCGCCCTGTGGCCTTGCACCCTTAATTATCTGGCTTGGCTCCGCTGGCACTCGCCCAGTGGTCGTATGCATCCTTAATTATTTGGATTTGCGCCCCATTGCCTATTGACACGCCCTCTGGACTTTTCCTTGCGGGCCGCAAATCAAACAGTGTCCCCACCAGCCCAGCCATGCGGATTGATCACATGGCCCTGGAGATGGCCTGCTGGATTGGACGGCGCTTGCGCTTATGGTCTGCGTCAGTGGCCACTTCGCTACCCCCCCCCCAAAGTGCGACTCGGCTGACATGTCGCTCTACTTCAAGTCTCGGCTCCTCGGCAAGGAGCTTTGTCCTCGGCGTTGCCTGAGGCTGAGCTGCGGCGCGTTTGTCCCTCTCCGCCGTGTTTCTTTTCGCCGCGCCCCTCTCTCGCTTCGCCTCGCCCTCTTCCTGTGTGCCCTCGTTCGTATTCTCCTCCGCCGCGTAGTTCTCGCCAACGTTGTGGCCCTTTTTCCGCCTGTCCTGTTTGGTTGGCCTTTCGACTGACTACCTGACGTCCCGCAGTTGCTTGCGTCGCTCGCGATCAAATGAACATCCCCACCAACCATTCGCTTCCCCAAGGGTTGTCCTGTAGCCCTGGTTTCGGCGCCGCCGCTTTCAGTTCTGGACGTGGCCTTTTTCCGCTGGCTCGTCGCTTTCGCTGACGTTGTGGTGCCCAGCGTCGCTTCTCCTGCTCCCCCGCCGCGGTGGCGCTCTCAGCTGGCACGCCTCTCTTTTTGGCGATCCGGAATCCTTCCGTTGAGCGCCTGCACGCCCGCTCGTCGTCCTCGTGCGCGTGGACTTGCAGAATGTCACCATTTTGGTGCTGCACTTCGGCCAGTGACTGCGCTTGGCCCGCCGTTCCTGAGCCGCAGTGTAGCTCGCTTCTGTGCGCTCTTGTGCGGCATTTAGTCTGCTGCTTGTTAGCCGCGTTTCTTGACGGCGCCTGGCATTCCTGCGCGCTCGCGAGCAAAAAGTACCCCCGCCCCGTCCAGAAGCGATGCCCAGGGGAGTCGAGGCGATCAGGGAAGTGGGGAAGCATGCAGAAGACCAAGGGGCAGGGAAAACCGTCCGGTACCCCAAGGGGGGGGGGGATGATGGTGAATGGGGAGGAGGAGGAGGAGAAGGAGGAGGAGGAGGAGGAGGGAGAGGAGGAGGAGGAGGAGGAGCAGGAAGAGGAGGAGGAGGAGGAGGAGAAGGAGCATATTGGCGAACCCAGGGGTTTCTTTTAGCATCTTGGGTGGTTCGGACATCCTCTTGATGCCTCTTGGGGGCCTCTTGGGAGCCTCTTTGAGGCGTCTTGGGCGCCTTGTCTGGGCGCCTCTTGTGAGCTTCAGGGGCACCCTTCGGGCCATTTTGCAGGACATCGATCGAAAACGAGGAGTTCCCCAATTCCCGTCCCTTCGGGAACCCCAATCCTCGCATCTCGGGGCGCTCTTGGGGCGCTCTTGGAACGCTCTTGGGGCCGTGTTGGAGCTCTCTTAGGTGTCTCCCAGGGCCCTTTGGGCCATCTTGGAACCATCTTGAGGCCTCGGGCGGCCACCGCAAGCGAACAGGCGAGAAAGCAACCAACATTGATTTTTATTTGGTTTTGGACGGATTTTGGCTTCTTCGGGGCCTCCTTGGGGAGCTCTTCGGCCACCTGGAGCCGGCTTGGGGCGGTCTTGGGGCTCTTGGAGCATCTTGGGAGCCATCTGGAGGCATCTTGGAATATTTTGAGCCATCTTGGAACTCATTTTGGGCCCTCCGAGGTGCTGTTGGAGCCATCTTGGGCCATGTTGGCTTGGACGCCCCAGCCCCTCGGGGGACCCCCCGTCCAGGTCCAGGGGAGGGGGTCGGGGGAGGGGTCAAGACGCCCTCCCCGCCCGCAAGCCGTCTCGCTCACTCCACCCCGCCCTCCCAACACATACGTGGCACCCGAACTTGGCTCGAGCCGCAGCATATGCAGCAATCGTCTTTGGATGGGCATCTACTGGGGGCCAATCCGCCGCCGCCGCCGCCGCCGCCTCCGCCGCCGCCGCCGCCGCCCGCCGCCGCCGCCGCCGCGCAGCCGCCGCCGCCGCCGCTGTCCGCCGGTGCCGCCGCCACCGCGCGCCCCCGCCGCCGCCCGCCGCCGCCGCCCGCCGCCGCTGCCAAATCGCCGCCGCCGCCGCCGCAGCCGCTGCCGCCGCAGTCGCTGCCGCCGCCGCCGCCGCCGCCACCGCCGGCGCCGGCGCCGCGGCCGCCGCCGCCCCCGCCGCCGCCGCCGCCGCCGCTTCCTCCGCCACCACCGCCGCAGCCGCCGCAGCCACTGCCCCCGCCGCAACTGCCGCAGCCGCCGCCGCCGCCAAGTGTACTCTGTATTGCTTTTTGTCAAGGATAGTGGGGGGAGGCCGCATCGGGTTGGCTGCGCATGCTCCGAATTGGGAGACAGCGTGTGTTTTGTATTGTTTTTACAAAGGATGGTGGGGGCAGAGTGTGCTGTGTATTGTTTTTACAGGGTTGGTGGGGGGCCCTCATGGAGCTGGGTTGGCTCCCAGTCGCCTGGGGGAGGGGGTGTATACGAATAGGGAGCAGTGATCAAGCTACCCACCCGCCTGCAAGCCGTCTACATCGTTCCCACCCGCCCTCCCTAGACATAAATAACACCCGAACCTGAGTATGTTCAGCGGTCGCCTTTGGATGGGCAGCTACTCGGAACCAAAGCCGACCCCAGGTGCGCGACGCTTGGGCGAGGTGCGCCACGCGTGCCAAAAGGCGCCACGCGCGCCAGGGAACCCTTGGGCCCGGGCGTGCCAGACGCGCCTGGTGCGCCAGATGCGCCACGTGTTCCGAGTGCGCCATGTGTGCCGCACAGTCCAGCCGTGCCAGGTGCGCCGCGTTCAGGGCACGCGCAGAGTGCGTCAGGCGTGTCTGCGCACGTGACAGCACACATCGGGAAACATGTCGGCCCCCACAATCCTTGTCGAAAGCCGATGCCCATTATTGTGTCGGGTGGGCCTGTGCGCAGCAGGCCACGCGCCACCACCCCCGCCGTCCCTGTCAAAAACCACTTGGCAGTTATCTCGGGATGGCCGCGCACGATCCAGGTTTAGCCGCGAGGTGCATGTTGTATGTCAAGGATGGTAGCCCTGCGCGCAGCAGGGAATATGCTGACCCCCCCCCCTCCCTGTCGAAAGCAATACAAGGTGCTCGCGGGCCTCGCGAGCATGACTCTAGACTTTGCCCCTAAGTGTACTTTGAATTGTTTTCTTGACAGGGATGGCAGTGGGGGGGCCGCACCGGGTTGGCCGCGCATGCTCCAAATGTGGAGGCAGAGTGCGGTTTGTATTGTTTTGCTGGCGGGGATGGTGGGGGGCGGGTCGGAATGGTGTCGGCATGGTGCCTGGTTGGCCCCAGGTCGCCTGGGGGAGGAGGTTTATATAAATAAGGAACAATGATAAACCCCTCCCCGGAGGGGAAAAGGGGCAGATGGAAGACACGACACGTTAGACCATC